TGCAGTAAGACCGGTTTATAACAGACGGCTTCCTGGGAAAAAAATACAGTTCCCAGCATAATTATAATTTTTAAGTTATGGTTATGATTTATATTTTAAAAAATAATGATGGTTTAATCTAAGAAGTTTAAATGTTTACGGCCCCTGCAATATTATGAATCTTTTGGCACCAAATGATAAATGATTTTTCATAATTTAACTCTAAAGTTAAGTTGTAGAATAACTAGCTTAGGCTTGCAAAAAAAATGTTCAGAACGACGCGAGAAAAGTGTGACCCTTTTCCTAATCCCAACATACTTATTATGATTAATCTTGATGAGAGAGAAAGAGATGGTTTACTCATAGTTACATTTTATGTTCAAACTGCCGACTCTTCCTATATGCAAAAATGACACACTTTATTTTATTTAGATAGATTAGATTTTTTTAGATAATTATGGATTCGCGTGGGGACCGTAAAATTCATCTGTAATTGACTTTATGCGGATCTTGTGCTGCCGTAAGAATATAATTTCTGTTGTGTTAAACAGACTATAAAACGTACTGTCCCGTACTACCTTCATTTATATTAATACAGCAATATAAGAAATTAAATTAAAAACGTGTCGACAAGGTTGCATTTAAAATAAGTAGATAAACGCACATCAGGATGCAGATTAAACAGTTACAAACAAGAGATAAATTGAATATGGGCCTGTATTTTGCAAGGTTACACTATTACACACTTTTCGGATTAAGCAAATTAACAATGCTTTCAAAATTTTCTGTTTATCGGTCAATGCGGTTTGAATTGGTTATTTTGATTTGTAGTTAATTACCAGAAATCGGTTAAGCATTCTAAGAATGTGTTCTATAATTAAAAATGAATTAGTAGTAAGGAACCAGAATCATGACTATCAAAATTCATATGTTATCATTAAAATTCGTAATCACTTTATTATTAAATAGCAACAATAATTCAGCAACATTTCTTTACATAAAATATAATTTTACATTTTCATATTTTAGAAAAATATTTGAAGTTAATATAAAAAAGTCTAGAAGCTAATTTTTGTGCTTGGATGTTATTAAAACTTGTTTTAATAATTAATTATTCTTTCATAAATTTAACCAAGCCTTGATGTCTCCCATTTTCAGATTTCTATATCAATTTTTTCGACCCGGACAATTTTTTTTTTTGGATCATTATGAACAAAATTTGTAGTTCTCTTATAATTTTTCTTTAAAATTGATCTTTTTCGAGTTGTTAACAATTTAAAACTGAAAAAAGTTACTATTTTCAAGGTTCTAAAAAAAGTAAAAAATATGATTTCTGAGTTCACCAAGGACCTGAATTCAAGTTCGAACCTTGTTCTATCATTTCCCGAAAGTATATTGGGCTTTTTTCATTTTAAAACATTATTTTTTAATCGTTACTGAAGCTCGAAAACTGACAAAAACCCTTACAGATAAATTGCAGGTCTTTTAAGTGTCTATGAAGAATTGTTCATATTTTCTGGCCTAACATCATCAGAAACGAAGATCTACTACGCCTGACCGAACAAAAAACTGTAGATCAAATAAAGTCCAGAAAGTGGAGTTGGATTGGTCACACACTGAGAAAAAATAATTCCACTATTGCAACGATTGCCCTAGAGTGGAATCCCTAAGGAGGAAGAAAAATAGGTCGCCCAGCACAAACTTGGAGAAGACCCATCATGGACAAGATAAGAGGTCAAGGAAAGTCTTGGAATGAGGTGAAAGCCCTGGCGCAAAATAGAGCCCGATGGCGCGTTTTCACTGAAGCTCTCTCTATGCTCCACTTAGTGGTTCAAGAAACTTATGATTGAACTGCTTATGACAGGACGGGCGCTGTGGGCTGCGGCGTAGTGTTGGCTAGTGAGTCAATGTTTCGAAGCAATGAATTGAGTCACAGAACTGGTTCAATTACAATTACATTAAATGTTTACTGTCTCGAAACATCGAGTCAGTACCTGTTATATCTGATAATAATAGGTTTTCATTTAAAAATGGTAATGAAAATCTATACTACCGAGGAAAAAAACCTAATTAAATAAAACCAGAATAAACATATCTAACTTACACCTAAAGCAATAAATTTGTGCTTAGCAAGCTCAAATCCCTAATCCTTCAACAATCCTCATAACACAATAACATTGCTGTCAGGTGCATTCAAGAAAATGAATATGGAGGAAATATTGTATCTTTGCATAGTGACCAACAATGAATAATTGTTATGATATGAAACATATGAAGTTACAGTATCCAGTAAAATGTTTCAATGTTTTGAAACATTATTTCCAAACATCACAGTGAGTTAATTCAAATGATTGGAAACATTCAAATGAGTCATTTCGCCCATCACTACTGCGGCGTGCTAAGACAAGGAAATAATCTCTATTGCACAAATTTTTGCTGGTTTGAGTTCTCATTGTACGAATTAGCGGCTGCCCTATCATACGCGCTTCATTAATAACTGAAAAACAAATGTTTTAAAATAAAATAAGCCCAGAATTTTTATCCGGAGCTAATAGAAGAAGGCTTGAACTTGAATTTAGGCACTTGATGATTTCAAAAATAATATTTTTTACTTGTGTTAAATTTTAATTAAAATTAAATTTAAAGCTCGAAACCCTTTAGATAAAAGTTAAAACAGACCTTTTCTGCTCATAATGATCCAAAAAAATCCAACAAATTTATCCGGACCACAAACAATTATTGTTACAATTTGTTTAAACAAATTTGATATTTTTCACCTGTGCGACCTCTTGAACCTTATTTTGTGGTAGCTCAGCAACGAAAATAGCATGGGAATATTTTTCCCAAGGAATCTGAGCTTTTCGCCTTGTCTATCTAGTTACGCTTTTTATATACCAGAAGTCTTAAATGCAATACAGGTTTAAATATTTGTTTGTAAGTTAATATTTTGTTATCTATTCCAGTTTCAGAATCCCTAGTATTTTTTTCATGTTATATCTTATGCGAGTGTGATACCACCACTGGCAAGTATTTTGGACTAAATTACATTTAATTATCTTAGTTTCTGTTAATGTGCACAGGTTTGGTCTCATTTAACCCAATCTTGAATGTCTTTATCCGTCCAGTGGTTTTTTAAGTTGCTTTTAGTGTGTAATAAATGTATTATGAATTGCTGGAATGCCATTTTTTGACAGGAGACGAGATGACAATAACAAAATAAGTAAAGCTAATTAGAGTACACTAGTCGCGGATTTATTTGCCTTAGGGGGGACTTCCAATGAAACACCAACCAAAAGACATAAAAAAGATACACCCAAATTAGCTGAAATATTATAAACAATAGGTTTTCTTTAATTCTGTACCTTCCTCTGGGATCCGCTCCTGGGAGTACAGGGGCCGATCAAGTATTAAATAAGCAGATTTATTATAATTATTTACCCCCGTCACCATTGTCAGCAAAAGTAAGCTAAGCTCTTACCACCACCCCTCCCCCCACATCCCATGTTCCTTAACATCGTTAAATGTAATTTTTTAATCTATTCTGTTTTTTATTGACTTATGAGCGGCAGTTATAATTATAGAAATCAGAAAATAGATTTAGGATACCTAGAGGACTTTAAACATATTCAACATAGAGTAAGCTACAAATATTATAATCTTAAGTAATATTGTGAACAAACTTGAATTTTTATTATCACCATCACTAGTATAACCCTAGTTAGGTCTTAATCTTTTGTAAACTGTTTTATCAGTCGTTCTTGTCCATCGCGAATTTGCCATACTAATCCTCCACTGGAAGGTTTATGCGTCTATATTCTTTGGTTTTATGCACAGACAAGAAATAATGAAAAAAGATTAGACTCCAAGTCATACAACCAATAATTATACCACCAAAGAAGATTTAATCGGATTTTAATTCGCCGCAACAAGTGAATTGGAGACTCGAAAAAGGGCGGCAAGAACTTCGCTAAGAGTGTATTTGCTGTTTGCTACGAGTTATTTGGAGTTATGTCCACTAAATATTAGTGAGTTAAATTTACCAAGAAAAGATTAAGATATAGATACAAATATGTTTGTGAAATTAAACTTCTCTTCTGTATCTTATAAAATGCATAATAATATAATATCTGCATGTGAACTGTACAAAAATAGTACCTATTGATATAAATAAATATTGCTGATTTTAGAGATATTATCTATTTATAGACATGCGTATATTTAATTGATAACTAATTTGAACAATAATAATAAAGAAAAAAAAACAAAAAAATAAAATCAAAAATAAATAATTTCTAGATAAAAAAATTTTAATATTCAAAATAATAAAGCATATCAAAAAAATAGTTAACATAGTTTTAGATCGTAATATTGTTATTATTGATAGTGCTTTTCTATATAGCAACTCTTCTGTCTGTAAACAAAGGTTTTATAGTTATGCGGATTTATTAAGAGAAGATTAAAAAACAAATTGAAAGCTATAAAAAATGTAAAACAAAAATAATCATTATTGGAAAAACGCCATTTTTAAAATAACAATAAGTTACAAACAAAAGTTTTACTTTTAGGTATGTATCTTTAGTTCTGAAAAAGTATCCTAAAAAGAATTCCATTCATATTTTGGTACAAAGGTTAGATAGAAATAAAATATTAGAGTTTTGAAAACATAAACACATGTTGATAAAAGGATCCCGTTATGCTAGACAGACTGCTTCTACTTAAAACAACAACCATATTCGTCACGGTCTTTGTTAAGATATTTTCTCTTTTACACAAAGTTTACCGGAGTTTTTTAGCGTCTGTTTCATTAATATTACCTACTAGTTCATTCACCTGTTTCCCCTTAATTAATATTCACACCTGTTAATCATAGAATGCCATACATTTTAAACTAATATAGCAAATGTAGAGGTCATATCATGCAGAATTTTTACATTTCAAAACTAATATGCGTCTGCATAAATCATTATGCAACATAGGCTAGAAACAATTTAAAAACATAATTCAATTTTGTTGTTCATTACCTTTTATTAAATAAGTGCAGTTAATCTGTTTTAAGTAATATCCTATATTTGACACATTTATTCACAGATATACACCGGTTTTCTTCACTTAAAAACCTGTTTAGAGGTTTCACTATTAAAACATTCTGCACTCCTCTGTATTCTGTAACTACCACTAACTAAAGAGTACTGTATTCAGTATAGTATAACCAGTCTCTTAGTTAATCGTAAGGCCAAAGGAAGGGGAACGCTATCTCTATTGTTTGTATGCATTTATGGTTCTCCCTCCTTATCTACGGTTTTGTACGCCATAGAAGGTCAGTTAACGACAGCTGCTGAGTAAACCGCGATCGATTTTATTCCTTAATGTCTTTAGATGTTAGGTTTATATTTGTCTTTAAATTATTGAGATTCGGTTATGTTTCTTCTCGACTTAGGACACAGTGGAATGTATTCTTGGATTTCGGGATTTTCTTTTTACTCAGGTTATTGTCACTTTACAAAGGTAGATACAGACTACAGAGTTACCTGCGCTCGGTTGGTGGTTAATCAATTCAAAATCAATTTTTGGGGCTGTTGACTAATCGTTTAATTTAAGAATTTCCGGAAGATTGTAGTATAATTGGACGATTATTGAATTTAAAAATCAATTGAACAACGCGGGTATATCTGGGTTAATGATTGATTTTGATAAAAGTACAATGATGCTACCTATGCTATCAATTAAATAAAAATGTGTAGAATATATATGTTAGAGAAAACTTAAATAGTCCCGTATAAAAGTTATAGATGAGCGTTACCTTCGATATGAGGTTTAAAACATGTTCTACCTATAATTTCCGATCTTATTAAAAACAGTGGCATCCAGTTTTCAAAGATTTTTCTATGCCTATTTTATAATTGTTATTATAGATAAATACACACCCACACGCAAATAACATGAAAATCTAAAGAAGAAATGTAATAAAAGAGGGCAAAGTTTTACGTGGAATAAAAGAGCATTTCTTCAAATAGATGTTTCAAATGAAGCAATTGAGATAGTTGAGAAATATTAGCACTAATTTTAATAAATATTTTATTAAAAAAAGGTGCTGGAAAATTGAAGGGCCACGGGAAAATTACTCAATTGATAAACAAAGTTTAGGCAGATGTGATAATGTGAACTGAAGGAGTATGTCAAAAACAGACGTAGGTATGTGGGTTTAAAAAAATTTGTAATGTCTACTTCGACAGGAATTGTGACTAACTTCGAAATATACCAAGACAATACATCTGCGTTCGTAAAATTCAAGGATTGCAGTCTAATCTTCTCTTTCATATTACATTTCGCAAACACTTTGTCGAAACGAAGTCATATATTTTTTGACAGATATTTCAGTTAGGTATCATTAATGTATGCATTAAATAACACTGGAGTGTTTGGAATGGGTACAGTCGTGATGAACAGATTACAAGCACTTGTAGTCTTCAAAAATAACAAAGAAATGTCTAGAGGGGATCTGAACAGTTTATTAGATGTGATAGTCCAATGATTAGTCTTGTTAAATGGAAAGACAATAAAGGTGTTCTGATGTTGTCTAATGCACTTAATGTCGAGCCGGAAGCCATAGTAAAAAGATGATGTAAATCTGAGAAACTGTTTGTCGAAGTATCATGCTCTAATATTGTTGAAACATACAATCAGAATATGGACGAGGTCCATACATGCGATCAAACTATTTAGAACATATTTCAAAATTCGTAAGTGGACATTCAAAGTCATACACTTATTCGATTTAGCATTAGTAAACAGTTGGATGGAGTATATTAGGGACTGTAGGGCTAATAATTCTCACACGAAAGATATAATGGATTTTCTGTCTTTCAGGTTAGCTTTGGTAGAGTTTCTTATTGGAGGTTTAATACCTAAAAGATGTAATAATACATAAGATGCAGGGAGCGACGACGGATAAAATTAAGATAGTTTTGGAAATCCTTAAAAGAAAATGAAACGATTTCCGGTTAAATTACCTGAACAAGATTAACGTTACGATGGTTATGGTTATGAGCATTGGCCTCTTAATCATGATTTACAAAACCCACTTTGTTGTCGGTTGGAAGCTTGCCAGAGCCGTTCACGCATACGTTGAAAACAAAAATTGTTTCAAAACATTTCATACTCGATAGTTTTAAGTAATATATTATGTTTGCATTGTGTGTTAAGTTGTTTAATGTACCTGTTGTCAATATTTTTGAATAAAATATTTTAATATCGTCTTTATAATACACATTTACTAGAAATTTTTAAGTCCCAGAGTGTACAATTGTGACTATCTCACAGTTGTGCGGGTGTTTTGTAGGACACCAAGGCACACATTATGATTATGATTGCCAACCTCCGTAGAGAGACGGCACTCTAAGAAGAAGAAGAAGGCACACAATTGCGAGGGTCTTTAAAAACGTACTGAGGACATTGATAATTGATATTCTCCTGCAATAACTTATCTTGTCGTGAGTCTGTACGGGTTAAGCATGGGGGGGGGGGGTTTAATGTAATTAAAAATATTTATTTTATTTTTAATGTAAGTATATTGATTGACCATTTTTTATTTAAATTTAATATTAGAGAGACCCCTCCTTATTTCGCATGCTTTTGTTACAGTAGAATAGCTTTTGTAGTTACCCTTGGTATTGTTAGAATTATCGATATTAAAAGTCCTTTATAAAAATACAGTTAAATCTAAAATTAAGGTATGTATATAGTTCAAATTTTTGTTTATACAGTCTTTTTTTTTTTATTTATTTCCAAAATACAAAACCTAAAAATATTTTTTTGAAACGAGTCTTTATCATTAAACTAAGAAGGAATCACTTAAAATACTGATACACTTATTAATTTTTCCCTTTTTTCGTATTTACTGCGTCACTATCATCATTAAATTTAATAATATATTTATTTCCACCGTTAATGGGGAAGTGTTCAATCTTCTTATAGTATTCTTCAACTTTGATCACTTTGGCGATTCTTTTCTGTCAGTCTTCTTTGGTAGTCTTAGATACTTCCTTTTTAATTATCTCACGAAATGTATTTGCACCCTTACTTAGTTTTTTTAATTGTCCCCAGATAAACTCTATAAGATTGGAAATACAAAATAGGGGGGAATTCTCAATATAGTGTGTCCACGATTTTTGACAATACTCTCTAGGGCATATAATTTGTTAAATTTCTTTTTCTCAAGTTTTCTGCCACACAGTCCTTCCATCTTCTCCTCGGTTTTCCTCTACCTCTCCTTCAATCAATTTCAAACAGCTATATCCTTCGTCTCACATAGTTTTCATTTCTACGTCTGACATGACCAAATCATTGCAGCCTTTGTTCCTGAATATTTTTTAAAACTGTAGTACCCGTAACATTTTTTTAGCTACCTCTTTAGTCCCTTTTGACTTTATACAATGGTACCATCACACTCTCGCCCCATGCATTGGACATCACTTCTTCCTCATATATCCTACTCATCATTTGGCATAAAATATCAACCCCTTCCTCTCCTAGAGCCTTCCAAATCTCCACAGGTATTCCCTCAAGTCCTACTGCCTTACCATTATTTATCATATTTAACGCCTAGACAACTTTATCTCTCACTATTTGCTTAATTTCAACATCGGTTCTTAATACTCTTCCATTCACGCTCTTAATCTATTGCACGTGGGTCAAGTCCTTGGATAGCTTGTCCCTTGCTTTAGCAATGCTGTATAACCTTATTATCTGCTCGGGTGTTTCCAACTCTTCATACAGTCGATCTTTTCTTAGCAGTAGCCACAGCGCGCTTTGCTTCCCTCTTTGCTACTTTGTATATGTCCTTATCTTCCTCTCTTTTAGACTTGCCATACCCCTTTCTAGCCTCTTTCTTCTATTTGACCTCCTGTTTCACTTCATCGTTCCACCACCAAGTTTCTTTGTCTCTAGGATGCCCTTTACCAGATGTTTTTCCTAGCGCTTGCACCACAACTTTACTCTGGGCTTCCCACCAGTCAATTGTCTTATCTTTTTCCTCAAGCTCTTCCAGCACTCTACTCTTAAAGACTCGTGCCTAATCCTTATCTTTAACTTCCACTACTTTACTTTCTGGATTCCTACTTGCTTTCCTTTCCGCCTCACCTTTATCTCCGTATCTACTATCACCGTTGGGTGTTGACGAGCTACACACTCACCTTTTATAACTTTACAGTTGGTAATTTCTTAAATATAATCAACAAATTCTATCTGACTTTCCCTTCCTCGGCTACTACAGGTAACATACTGGTCTTCAGTCTTCATAAAGAATGTATTAATGACAGCCAAATACCATTCGACTGCAAAGTCAATCACACTATTTCGTTCTGTGGAGATATTTACTTGATGGAAATCCTATATTATATAAAATAAGTTAATTCAAACCCTAGTTTGGAAAATTTACACTCTTCTTACTTCTACATTATAATTACCTCTGAAGAAGCTACAAGCGGGTCAGACAACGTAGTAAATTTATATCCAAAAAATTTATATATAGATATATATATATATATATATATATATATATATATATATATATATATATATATATATATATATATATATATATATATATGTGTGTGTGTGTAATATCATACCCTTATTCATAGCAGTTTTAATTCGTCTAAAAAGAGTTTATTATCGTTAAAATTCTACAATATAAATTATTAACAATAATAACATAACTAACATAGCTTAACAAATATACAATCCTAAAAAGAGAATCAAGAACAATGCTATTTCTTATGCCATTAAGTCATTTGACAATTGTACCATACAATTTACAATATGCCAATGTCAATAAAACTTAGACAGTCATACAACCTAAAACTTTAAATAACTAAAAATAACTAAATCCTGCTGTTTATCTTAAAATAAACATAGGTTTACTTTTACATCCCCATACCAAAAAGGTATGATAAACCATCTAAGTATATGGTTTATCACAAGGCATCAATTTTAAAATATGGAAATAATTAATTACTCTTTAACTGGGAATAAGCCACAATTAAAGATAAAAATACGTTTATTGACGTTTCAATTTCCACTTCGGAAATCGTTCTCAAAATACAAACAGTAAATTAAACAAATTTTGTTTTTTGTTACATAGTGAAAAATTCTTCTAATAATTTAATTTTATCTGACTCATTTATATTGACAATTCAGACATA